GTGAGCGTACGGCTTGCATATGCTACGACATATTCAGGGAATCCGGGTTTTCGCTGCGCCAGGACAGCGCCGAGGCCTACTCCGCTGGCGTCCGTGTGCACCTCCGTTGGGGCTGTAGGGTCGTAGTGGCGTAGAATGGGAGGCGACGTCAACAAATGGCGGAGCTTCGCGAACGCGTCGTCGCACTCGGATGACCACGAATTGAAGGGCCCGTTGCTTCCAAGGAGCTTCGTCAGCGGTGATATGATCGTGGCGAAATTTCGTATGAATCGTCGGAAGTATGAGCACAGGCCCACGAAACTACGCAGTTCTTTGACAGATGCAGGTTTGGGGAATTCGGCCACGGCCTGAAGCTTGGCAGGATCACGAAGAATGCCGTCTTTGGACACGACGTACCCCAGTATGGTGAGTTGCCGTGCTGCAAAGCGGCACTTTTTCAGATTTAGTTGTAAGCCGGCATTGCTCACACGTGCGAAAACTTCTTTCAGACGTTGGAGATGCGTGGAGAAATCCGGAGCAAAGACAATGACATCGTCGAGGTAACACAAGCACGTGTACCATTTCAAGTTGCGCAGAATGGTGTCCATCATGCGCTCAAAGGTCGCAGGTGCATTACATAGACCAAACGGCATGACGTTAAACTCGTACAAGCCGTCTGGCATGACGAAGGCGGTCTTTGGTCGAGCGTCGTCAGCCATGGGTACTTGCCAGTACCCCGAGCGCAGATCGAGAGAAGAAAAAAAATCGGCTCCATGAAGGCTGTCAATCGCGTCATCGATGCGTGGCAGTGGATAAACATCCTTGCGAGTGATCTTATTGAGCCGTCTGTAGTCTACACAGAACCGCACAGAACCGTCTTTCTTCGCAACAAGAACAACAGGAGACGCCCATGGACTGTCGGAGGGCCGAATAACGTCGCGTCGGAGCATATCGTCAACCTGATCATTAATTACTCGACGTTCAGCAGGCGACACGCGATATGGACGTTGCCGTAAAGGTGGATGGTCACCAGTGTCGATGCGATGCGTAACAACGGACGTGCGACCGAGAGAACTTCGCCCGACATCGAAAGAAGAACGATATTCTTGTAACAGGTCCAGAAGTTGGGAACGCTGTACGGCCGTAAGGTTGTCAGCGATGGAGGGGCCAAATACATCAGCAGACGACGAATCAGAAGTGGAAACAGCATTGATGGTACACGACCTGGGAGCGCGCGTGTCATCGGGTACGTCCAGGACTTGTGCGTCGTCGACTGGTTCCACTCTGCCGAGACATTACCCTCGAAGCAAGGTAACAGCGTACGGGAACGGGTTGGTTACAAAAATAGCAGTGTTGCCCTGGTTGACCTGCACGGTCGCGAAAGGTACTAGCAACCCTTTCCTGCTGCAAGCACGGTCAGATGGCGAAACAAGTCCAATGGTGTCGGAGAGACCAGCGCAGTAGACAGACACAGCCGTCGTCGAGTTTGGAGGCACTGTTGTATCGTCTCTCGTTAGAATCTTGCTCAGTGTCGGGGGACTGTCTTCTGGCGTCAAATGCGAGAAGGGTGAGAGCTCAATTTCGGCAGCGGCACAATGGATGACGGCGTCATGGCGGGAGAGAAAGTCCCATCCCAGGATGACGTCATGAGAGCATGCCTGAATGACAATGAACTGGGCGACATACAGAACGTCCTGGATGACAACGCGAGCTGTGCACCCTGCTGTAGGATGAATCCGGTGCAAACTCGCAGTACGAAGGGATAACCCAGAAAGTGGCGTCGTCACTTTTCGAAGTAAGCGGCAGAGTTTTTCGTCCATAACTGATACGGCAGCTCCAGTGTCAATAAGAGCCGATGCACAAACACCGTCCACAAGCACGTCAATGACATTCGAGGGGCTGCTCTGAGGGCTTTCACATTGCGATAGCGTCGCAGTCCTTGCCTCAGGGACTGCGACGACTAGTTTTCCCGCTCATGAGATGCCGCACTTGGCCGCATGGGAGACAGGGAACGGCGTCGTGGAGACGGTGATCTTCGAGACGGACTTGGGCGAGATCGAGGGGGCATAGACGGCGGTTCTTCGCGATAAGGACGGCTGAGTTGGCCAGCAACAGGTGAAGAAATTGGAGCCGGCAGTACGCGATGGCAATAACGGGCCACGTGACCGGCGTAACCGCAGGCAAAGCAGATGGGCCGGTTGTCGGGTGTGCGCCATCTGTTCACCGGGGTAGGTCTCACCCATGTCGCAAGGGCTGATGGACGGAACGGTGGCTGCATGGTGGACTGAAGCTGAGGCTGAGGGGTTACGTCAACATATGTAGCGGGCATACCCGCTGCAACGGACGGAGGTCGTGCAGCAGCTTCAGCGTAGGTCAGAGGGGCGGGTGCTTGAACGACTTGGGGTGGCCTGGCGACCACTTGCGCGTAACTCAGGGACGCAGGAGCCGGAGGCTGTTGGGGGTGGTAAGCAGGCATTACCTCCGCTATTTCCTGTTCAATCGCTCGGCGGATGGGAGGGAGAAGGGTAGTAGCCGATTGTTGAACAGCAGGTTGGTGGGAAAAGGGCAGGAGGGAGAACTGACGCGCGATTTCCTCACGGACAAAGGACTTCAGTTCTGCCATCAACGCCACTTGGTCACAACTGGCCTCCAAGCCAGCAAGCGTTGCAGCTCGTGGTGGGGAGCGTCGGGTCATCGAACGCTGCCGGCGGAGCTCCTCGTAGCTCTGGCACAGTGTGATGACCTCAGCCACCGTGCCGGGGTTTTTGGCGAGCAGCATCGTGAAGGCATCATCGTCGATGCCTTTCATGATGTTTCGGATCTTGTCAGACTCGGACATGGTGTGATTGGATTTGTTGCATAGGTCCAGGACATCTTCAATATAGCTGGTGAATGACTCACCAGCCTCCTGAGCACGTTCACGCAAGCGCTGCTCGGCTTGCAGCTTGCGAACAGCAGGGCGGCCGAAGACGTTGACGATTGCGGTCTTGAAATCGGACCAGGTGGCAAAATCGGACGCGTGGTTGTTGTACCACAAACTGGCGACACCGGCAAGGTAAAACACCAAGTTTGTCAGCTTGCCGTCCTCGTCCCATTTGTTGGGAACGCTCACGCGGTCGTAAATGGCGAGCCAGTCCTCCACGTCAGTGCCATCAGCGCCAGTGAAGATGGGTGGATCGCGGATTCTGGGGACACCGGGACAAGGGGGTGGCATTGGAGGAGGCGTTTGCTGAGAAGCGTCTTGGTACATAGTAGATGGCAGGGTACGTGATCGTAGCTCCAAAGGCATAGACAGGGATCGCAGCACTCTCCACCAAATTGTTAAGGCGTTTATTAGCCGGCAACGAGCGAGAATATGCTATGGCGACAGTCACAGCAAAGCACGGGCTCCCAGCGCGAGCGGCGTCCTTGTTGGGTAGCCCCACTAGAAGGTACGCAAGAGTTCGACCCATTTCATAGTTCGGAGGCTTCGCTACAAAATAAATAAATAAATAAATAAATAAATAAATAAATAAATAATGTCTCTCATTTCCCTCAGCTATAGATATTTCGCACAACATGACTATAAGAATGGACCCGGCATGGGTGAGATAACTCAGTGGTTGCCAGAACGCATCGTGATGTTTCAATATGTCTAACGTGGTTCAGCGATTGCACGATCTGTTATAAGAAAATCGGATAAACGAAGGCACTGTGTCTGTACTAGTAATTAACCGAAATTTAAAAGCGGAACGCTGCACAATCAAATTATATTTTAAGGATTCTCGGCTTACGTGTATGTATACCTAACGCTTTTCAGACAATTTATTCAGTGAGCAAGCCGTTCATATAGTGCGATTATATATTCTTATTCCTTAACGTTTGTGCTCTTCAAACTGTGCAAACGAGTATTTATAGCTTTTCCGAGTTTGAAGCCAATAGCAGTCGAGAGCTTTTGTCGACTACGTCGAATTACTTGTACAATCTGAATGAACCACATTTACGCGATGAAATATTCATGATAAATTATTATTATTGCAACGAGTCCTGTAGCACACTGTATTTCGGTTGACGCAGGTCAGCGCGTCTTGAGATCAAGCAAAATGTAGGCTGATGATGAGAACGCTGACGATGAATGAGAACGCTGACATGAACGCGCGAATTACATCTCTCGAAGGTATACGTTTCATGTCGTTTCATATCGTAATCCCATCTTTTTCTGTGCTACACAAAGCCATCAATGATAAGCCTGTTGTTTATTTTGTGCAAAAACAAGTAGTGACGCTGCTAGCGCGCTTCACCGGAGGGACAGCATGTCCCATATAAGAATCAAGATTTGGGAACCTCCTCGCATCGTACAATAATGTATACTGTTGGCCGCACAGTTTTACGGAAAACAATACTTGCTTAATAAGAAAGCGCATTTCCTTGAAGCTTGGACATCTACTTAATCGCGATATGTGCTATGATGCCTCTCATTGCAATTGTTATGACTGAATAAACAGAGAAATTCGCGTCTTTTTTTTTTTTTGTCAAAATGACTGATTAGGCGAACTTGTGATTCACGATTACTTGAAATACGAGAGCGTAGGTTTTCCTCAAACCTGTATTTAGTAAACTTTTGAGGCCGTCTGCTTTTTCTCACTAAAGTGCGTGGGCGCATGAGCTTATGTTCCGTCACGGCAAAAACACGAAGCAACTGAGTACACATCAGGATGAGTCTGGTCAACAAATTGATCAGTGGTGAACGAACGAGGATAGCGCGAAGCCGACGTTTCGACGAGGAAACAGTTCGCCCCGGCGAACGCTGAACGCAAGTTCCTATGTCGAAACGTTGGTACTGGGCCGGGTCTTTCTTCTAGCTTGACCACCGTTAATGATGAAGGAAGATAGGCGTGCAAAACACGAACGCAAAAGAAGAAATCAGAAGACAAACGCGTTTGTGTTGTGCTGGTCTCTTCCCTTGTGTCCGTCTTTGCAAGCCAGCTACTCTCACAACGAATAAGTACCATCTAGCTCAACTTTATCTCGTTCTTGGCCACCGTTCATTGGTTTAAAACAAGCAGTTATTCTCCTACGAAGAAGTCGCCAGTTAGTCCCGTCGCTTTCAGGGTGTTCGATTTATGAAGAGACGAGACACCGTTGCGGGGTCTCTCAGAGCGTCTGCAGGACGTCGCAGAGGATGCGCTCGATGGGCACTGGTCCGATGGTGGGCCGGAAGTAGGCTTCCTCGAGCAACGTGGCCGGCACGGCGCGCAGAGAACCCAGCAACAGCAGGAGTCGCGCGGCTCGGTGCTGCTGATGCTGCCGGGGCCGCTCGTCGCTGCTCTCCAGGAGCACCGACAGCGTCTGCTCCTGGACGCGCTCCACTTGCGGTGCCTCGCGCAGGCCGGACACCTCTGCGATGCACGCGGAAGACGGCAGTGATCGTGTCTTATCGCTTATACGCCAACTTTCCAATCTCCTTTCTACTCAACTACGGATTAGCGAAGGCTCTGTACCCCATTGCCATCCCAACCATCAATAAACCGCATACGGTGGTCTGGCGCCTCCTCCCGAAGAACACTTACCCGAATCCGTTTGCTTACAGCCACCCCAACCAATATAAGTGCACATGCCAGCTATGCTGCGAATGTTCGGGTCTGAAAACGTCCCGTGGGGTTGTCCTCAAAGTTCACAACAGGGCCGCATAATAGGTAATGATGAGCACTGGGAGGCGTACTGCTTATAGCGCGAACTTTGAAGACCAACTCGGGCCGTCAAGCTGGCTGAAAACGTCGCCATGCTGAGCACAAAGTCTACCGGCCGCCGTTTATGCTAGGACGTAGTTCCCAGACCATGGCACAAAAATAAAATTAGTTATATATTCTTGTAATTTAGTGCGGAGGATTATGAAGACTTACACACTCTAAGAAGTAGACGAGGAGGAGGGGTATCGAGGATGCTCTTTTGGAATAGTAACTAATTTGTCACAACCACTCTTCTTTTTGGCGGTATGTGAAGGGCAGTATTGTTGTCTCGATCATACCTCTACTGAAAGTAGCGTCTACTGTTGCTGCATTGGCGTGTTCGCGGAGCATGCGTACGCTGACCGACGCGCAGTCATAGATGCTTACGACTCCCCGACCACCGCACGTGCACCCGTCAAACTCTCATCGCTTTGCCCGTTCCCCGACTGGCAAGGTCAGAAGTCGACCCTCTCCAACTTTCTTTATCTCCATTTCTTATATATCCCCTTCTCTTCTCTGTGGCGATCAGCCGTGCTCCCGAAGCACCATCTTGCCTTTTCTTACAGTCACTCTTTCTCCTCTTACGCAGGAGGTGAAGCCTCTTAACGGTGTTTCCTTTGGCCATCTGTCGCAGTAGCGTTAATCAAACGGATTTAATTGCGCCCATTTGCTCACTGTGGTCATTCTCTCCTTAATGCGCAACCACTTTTGAACTCTCTGGCCCAGTAGCTGACAAGAGGTAACGAAAAGCATGGATATTAGGCAATAAAAATTCAGTTGACTACACTGAAGTTTCACGGCGTGCTTGTTCACGTCATCCAATGGTATAGCGCATCCAAGACGGGACAGGGCGAAAGACAAGTAACACACATACACAGCACTATGATTGGGTTATGTGTACTTCGCCTTGCACCGTCTTGGATGGGCTATACATTTCGATGTTATCACTACTGTACTCGAGGAAATGAATGGAAGAGAATGAGGGGGAAATGGTTATGAACAAGCGGAAGATTCACAGCATCTGTCTCACGAACTGGTAGATGCCTCAACCGCGGCTTAAGAGAAAGACATAGTAAGTGAATAGAGGGAGAAGAGTAAATTACGAATGACTTTTCACCAGCTTGACAGCAGGGAAACATATACAGGCGGGAATCCAAAAAAAAAAAAAACGCTAGGAAGGAGAAGGCGGAAGTCTGCGATAAAAAATCCGTTAGGAGTGGTTGTGTCACGCCGACATTTCGACAAGCAGACTTTTGTCTTCCTCAAGGCTAGAACAGATCTGTTCTCGCCAGAACAGTTTTGTTCTAGTCTTGAGGAGGACAAGTCCGCTTGTCGGAACGGCGGCTCGACACAACCCCTGTTTACGCATTTTTTTTTCATCACAAACACAAAGAAATGCGAGAATGGGGTTGGGTAGAAGGACCATTTATAATGGAATGGGAAGAAATTGAAGGGCTCAATGGTGAATTGAGGGTATGGCGCTTACCTGGTCTGAACAGGGCGAGAGCCTTGAGGCACGAGTACTCTGCGGCGTCCGTATGCAGAGCTTGCAGCCTGGCCACGGCCTCGCGCACTGCCTGGAGTCCACGTAGGCCGCTCGCCGCGCTACCGCCTTCTCCGGCCGCAGACTCGACACCTGCGTCCACCGCAACAATGTGCACACGTCACCACGACAAGTCATCTTCAAAGGACGTCTTTGCTCTCTCACGCATCAGCTTAAAACAGAAAAAAATGCGGAGGCGTTTCTGTTTCTCTCATTATCTTGCGAATCGAGAAGCTTCATGTCATTGTTGGTGTTTTACATCACCCCCCCCCCCCCAAAAAAAAAAACACAATTCGATTATGGGGGACGCTGTACTGGAGGGCTCGCCCCCTTCGAGAGAGTTTGGAGGCAGGCGACGATCGCCCCTACAGCCCCCCCCCCCCTCCCTCGGGATCCGCCACTGCCCACGAAAGACCCATCCAATGATGGGGTCAGAATGTACTTTACTTAGCAAGGGTAATGCTGTCACGAAGTTTCACGAAAACACTTACAGGTCCTTTTAGGTCTTGGCCTAAGACGACTGGAAGGCGAAAGCAATAAAGTGTGTGTATCTGGCCATCATCATCGTAATCTCTGATGATGATAATCTTCTTCGCTGATCGTTGATGATTATTACGATTGTTAGCATTCGAGCTCAAGACGACGAGTATGCGCTGACGGGCACTTATACCTATTTAATGAGGCATGTGAGGCTTCTTCCTCAAAAGGACCAACGCGCTGTATAAAGTTTGTGTGTCGTTTTGTGAATCTCAAGCACGTGATTCAATGTCTGTTGTTGAAGTCGATTCGTTAGCGTCGTTTCGCAGATGGGTTGATCGTGAACGAGTGCGATGTGATTGTGGCGTGGAGGAATGAGAAGGGAGTCGTGTCGCTGATGTTATGGACGCAACCGTACACGCCGTGGTCACGACGCAAATCACTGTTTGAAACACAAGCCGCTGGAGTACGCTGGCTTGTCGCCTTAACTATATCTTGTCGCAATAACTATACTTACTAAGCCGATTCTGCCGCAAGGCTGCTGTGCTGATCTTATTATTACTGTCGTGACGAAATAAATGTCACTACAAGACTACACGCTTACGTCAAAAATGTTTGACGTGCTTTGGAATGTCTCAAAAAACACACGCGTAAAACCGTTGATATGTCCACTTTGATATTATGGTGTGTAAAGCAACAAAATTCGTTTAGTTTCTTTGATATTATTTGGTCGTATGTCGCTCCATCTAGCCGATCACGATGTTTATAGGAGGTATTAATTACGAGTTTATCGCCAGTGCTCGAAAAGGAACAGTACGTAAGGCGCGTTTGCGTTTGAGGGTGAAGCCCGTGTGCAGATTCAGTGATGAAGATGTTGTGGCCACTGATCCTATCCAGGTGAAAAACAAGGTGAGATACTTTTTGGAACCCTTACGAAATCTTCGATTACTGCTCAGAGACGCTGCACTAACCGGTGGCAGTGACCAGTGGGAATCCCCATTGCGCGGCGCTGAGCAGGAACACATCGCTCCAAGAGGCTTCGAGCAGAAGCAGCTGGTCCCGGCAGCACAGCTGCGCGAACGCTGGCACGCTGCGGATCCAGCGTAGGCTACAGAAGAGAAGCTTGGCGGCCGTTTCTTGCACACCTGCGGCACTGTGTATCAGGGCGACGAATCAAGACCCGGCGTTGTGGTGCTCAGTAATGAAGTAAAGTAAAATAAGTAAATAATAATGTTTCACACACAATTATTTTGCTAGAAGCAGCAACCGTCAGTACCGATAGCGCATGGATACAGCGTTTTGAGTGTCCTTATATCCCCTTCAACGGCGGTGTGCACGACTGGACAGTCGTGCTCGATATGAGTTACAACACGTTGTCTGGTCTTAATATGGCGCCGACACTGCAAATCGGCACCTACATAGAAAAAAAAATCACAGCATATCCACGAGGTGAATGATGACGAGTGGGCGAAGCTCCTGAGGGGAAACTATCGGTAAAACCGTGACTCTTCAGTGAAACTTCGCCCACTACATCATCAAGAAAGACGTGAGAAACACTGTGTGTGTATATATACTCGCGCTGCAGCACGGCGATGGCATTGGCGCGAGCCTGGTCGTTCTTGATGAAAGATATTGTGACTAGACTGTTCGAGAACCACAATCTGTCGCACACACTGCAACTGTGTCCGAACGTAACGCCTAGAAAGTCTCGCTTAAACCGTGCGTCGGCACCTTGGGGCTTAGCTCGCCTGACGCGTTTTGCAGACGCCTCACGAGCTCTCACTGCATCGGGGTCTGCCTGCCGATACGCGCGCTTTCTCGCCGCCTCCCGAGTCTCCTACGTTTTGGAGATCCTCTTCGCGCCGCAGCCGTGCCGCTTCGCGTACGGCTGGGTTCTCGCGCCCTTGCCGTGACGCTTGGGCCTCTCGTTCTAGAACGCTGGGATCTTGGCGGCGGCGGCGTCGCGCAGCCAGACGACACGCTTCGGCGTCCCGCTCTCGTACGGCAGGATCTTGGCGGCGGCGGCGCGCAGCTTCACGGAGCGCTTCTGCCTCGCGGGCTCGCACATCGGGATTCTGTCTGCGAGCACGCGCTCGCCACTCTGCGGCCTTATCCATCGGGCAACTCCGAGCGCGCGCCAACAGCGAAGGGATTCTATTACAAACTAGAGGTGGCCTTATCCTTCGGGCAACTCCGAGCGCGCGCCAACAGCGAACGGATTCTATTACAAACTAGAGGTGGCCTTATCCATCGGGCCACTCCGAGCGCGCGCCAACAGCGAACGGATTCATTACAAACTAGAGGTGGCTACATACTTACGCCGAGGATAGAAAGACCCACGCCTTAAAGAGCTTCGCCCCTAAGAAAATGTGAATCGAGCTATCGCAGTTAGCAATACTTTCTGAGCCTAGCGTCTGTCGGTGTAATTGTCCAGGTTTGAGGTCACTGTAACCACAGCCAGCGTGTTGCAACTCAATTGAGCGCGACTGTGCACAATTTTGGAGGTGTGTCATGCACCGCGTGCTTTTTTTAATGGCTTTGAACTCAGTGTGCACATTTGTGCTTTCCAGGTCGACAGCTAGCGGTCATTTAGCTTTACTGTGCTGTGTTTCGTGGTAGAGGATTACTTTGCCGAAGGCACTACCATGTTCGACCATCCCTCGACGTGTTGCCTTCTCGGACCAACGTCAAGAGTATTTGTTTTACCTCGCGTGAAGCGAATACAATCAAAATGAAGAAGAAAAAAACGCAGTTGCAGAGAGTGCACCATAATGCACGCCTGAATGAGATATGCAAGCATTTATGTACAGACTTGCGTAGGTAGTTAAGTATCGATGCAGCTCAGTGTAACCAGCTGTATGTAACCGGGGGCAGAGAATTCTTCACGCTAGTAATCGAAATTCCGTTTGCATACTTGCCAATTTTTGCTATTTTCCGAGGAGACTCCCAAATTTTCACCAATCATTCCGGTTGTACCGGTACGTACTTAAATGGAATGAAAAAAAAAAACTGTATTTCAGGCCTGCAGCTCGCGCTTAGTGCGTAGCGGGCGTTTCCCACGTAGGGACCGACAGGGAGTGCCACCGTGCAAATTGGTAGTAACCAAGGTCATCGTTTCTGAAGATTTTCTGATCGCGTACGGAATGCTTTTTCGCTGCAGTACACTTGTGTAATGCAAAAAAGAGCACTAAGATTGTGCACTAAGCTTTACACCAAGGCCAGCACTGAGTTCTGACCTTCGGAAAGCGGCCACCATAGCAGCGGCCGGGGCAGCATAGCGATGGGACCTCGGAAGAAGGGAAGGCCAGCGGCACCTTGAAGGTCGGCCAGAGAAGCCGCCGCAGCCCGGTGTACTCCGGCCAGCTCGGGAGGCAGGCCGGCCGCTGAGGGCAAGCTGGCCGAGGAGGCTGACGACTCGCTGGCCAGCGCCGGTCCCAAACCAGCCTGGCGGGACCGAGGGTGACCCGACGCCTTGACCGCTGAGTGGACGCTGAATCCGGTGCCTGGTCGTCGATGCCGTTCGCCTCCTCAGTCGTCGACGACGGAACCGCGTCTGTGGACGAAGTTGCCCTCACCGTGTGATTGCGCTCCTTCCTCGCTGATCCTATACAGAAAGCTCCACAGGCTTCGAAACTCTGAAGCAACGATGATACCGACAGTTAAGGAGACTTGGCTGAACGTGCGCCATAGACTGATACTTGGTGACTGGTTCGCATGAAACCGATAACCAAATCGCGGTATTTGTCGAAATTTAGTCTTAATCTCAGTCTTTTAGTCGTAATAATAAATTTTTATTGGTGAAGAACATATGAGGCTTTATTTCAGAGTAGAAGCCCCACAGGAAAGAATAAACGGCTCTCATAATTATATAGACACAGCTTTTTGAAGAGGTGATACTACAGAATTACTTGAGTGAGGTTCATAAACTGGCAACAGGATAGAAAGAAGCAACCAATCGTTTCCTCCCGTCTGCAGAAGTGGCGCAGAGGGGAATCCACTAAACCTTATCTGCACAAGTAAAATTGCTGAAAATTGTGGAATTGGTAGAAATGTCTTTTCCTGACGGGTCTTGACAACATTTAGCTATTTACCGATGAACCTCTGCTACAGTGTCCGTGGCATCTTGTAGGTTGGCGTCCTGTTAGCGAAGAAATAATCGCCATGCAACAACTGGAAAATCTTGGATGACGCTTGAGCTTTGTCTTCAAGTGAAGAACTCGATAGCTTAATTCAGGGGTATCAAACATGTGATCCGCGTACCTCTCGCTTGCGGGCTGCGGACCGCAAATAACTGTATTTGTCCCACATCATTTTAATTTTTAATGGGTATGTTCGTGAGCTACAGAGGATTGATTGCAGTCTAAAACATTGTTTATGTGGGACTCCTCATGCGGTCCACATTTGTTGAAGCATGACCGTGAAACACAGACCATTTTGCAGAAACGGCGCCAAGGTATTGGTCATTTTGGCGACTTCATTCGATGTTTTGTTCGAATAATGCGCGCACACTCTCCTTCAGAAATCACTCCTATATCGAAATATGGGGAACGTTCTCTTTCAAATGGTGTACCCGTTTGCTGACAACTAGTGCACGTTGAAACCTTGAAGCCGTGGCACAAACTCAATTTGGGGGATTAGGTAGGAACCGGGTAGTTTTAAGAAATGTGAGTTAGATTTTGCCAGTTTAAAATGGAAGAAGTCGAAATGAAACGGAAGCTTGAAAGTAATCAGGGAATAGGTGAATAGAAAATTTAGTGCAGACTAAAGTGAGGAAGCGGAGAAATTTAACAAAAATAAAATACAATAGCATTTTGGAAAAGTATAAAAAAAATAACGAATGTGCGGAATCGACAACGACGAAGATGATAATAATAATGAGGATGATGATATCCGCAGGATACCGAAGCCACATAGGGACCACAAGGTGACCCCAATGTGGCTACGGCCACAATGCAGGCTGCACGCTCTAACTTAAAAAACATATCAAAGAAAAATATCAAAGAAATATCGACAAAATCAGTAAGGCTGGGAAAATGGGGGGAGGGGGAGGCAACAGGACGAAGAAAAGAAAAAGTAGGTGTTGCATTGTTGTTCGCCTTGTTATTAAGGACAGTGCAGAGCGTTTCGGCCTTTCTCTGTGCGATGAATATTTAACTGCTGATGCCGGCATCTTAAATCCAAAACTGTTTTTACTTCAATGTCTGGTCCGTAGCTATGATGGGGAATGACCAAACCGTAGTTAATAGTGTGTTTTCGCTTTACCAGTTTACGATGCGGTGAGTGGTGGACAAGGCGCTCTTTGAATCTGCAAGACCTTTATTAGCCGCAATATCATCGCACCATGCTATGGAATACATATCGAGCGGCTAGTCCAGGTATAAAATATTCAGGTCGTGAAGCACGGGGTGGTAGTACTATAGCGTAATTGCTGCGGTGTTACTGTCACTACTAAACATCCTGATAATCATTCTGAACGAAAAAATGACACAAGAAAGCAATATATACTAACCGCTAAAATATATACTTGATGTAAGATTATCATATAGCTGATTCGCAATTACCGTGTACTCAGAGAGAAAGCCACAAACATTTACAACAACGAAAAAAAAAAGGTAATTGTACCGTCAATAAAATCGTAATCTTCCGCGTAATCTTCCGGACACTTCAATGAACTATTGTGAAGCAGTTAAAATAAGGTTGTGCCTTGCTCCTAACTAGGAGGTTGTGGAATTCCCAACGAGTGGCTCATACTGGGCAAGAATGCTTGTTGTCGTCGTCGTTTTTGGGCTCCATTGAGCATGGCTCATACTCAGTGCAGTGGGTTGGCCGAGTTTTGAGTGGACCTTTTACTTATTTTCTGAAGTGTATAACATTTAGATGTTGTAGTTAATTATTATATTGAATAAATGCCAATTATTATAAACAAAACATTTTAAGCCGGTAGAATTTAGAAAAATGTTTTTTTTTTAGTCTTAATGATGAATTCCATAATGGCGAATAACGCATACCTGAGGCTGTATTGCAGAGTAGAGGCCCCAAAGGAAAGAATAACTGGCTCTCAGAATTCTATAGGCACGGCTTTCGAAGAGGTGATACAGTCGAATTATTTGACTGAGTGTCATGCACTGGCGCTAGGATAGAAAGAAGTCACCAATCGTTTCCTCCCCACTGCAGAAGTGACGCAGAGGGGAGGTCACTAAACATGATCTGCGCCAGTAAAAATTGAGGGAGGTAACTCGATCGGCATCGAAACCTCGTAACGGCAACTTTTGTCGTCCTTAAGCTATAGACAAATCCTGGCCCCAGAGAAATTGAAAGAGTGGCAGTCAGAGGAAGCGGGTTCCTTTTCCCTTTAGTTAGGTGGAATCATCTTCCTCTTCCTTCTGTTCCGTGTCCAAAGTTGTCAATATGTCGTTACTGTGATGTGGGCGCACGTCAGTACAGCTCGTGCCGGAGCGCCCCCTGCCGTCCGTGGCGGATGGGCCGAGGAACGGCCGGCCGCCTCAATGGATCGGCACGCCCACCGAAATTCGCCTCGTATCTTTTGTCTGCCGGTGGTTCGGCAACCACCAAAGTCTGCCGAACGATGAGGGACAGCTGAGCGTCGCTACCGTCGTTCACGAGTCTCTGGTCCGTGAGGCATCGAACAAGGTAGGCACAGCGGCTATATCCCTATAGCGCCCGATAGACTCGGTATTGCTGAGATTCTGAGATTGTTTAGCTGCTGGCAGCGTTATGCTTTGTATACGTGGTAGCGGTGCTATGGGAGCTTGGTATTACGCCGTGATGACCGAAGTGACTTCGCTTGCGTGCCCAGGCGTTGATGAACCCTAGCGTTGATGAACCTTGAACCGGCGCTGTTCTGTGACATTGTGGTGAAATAAAGTAATGTAAGCTATCCTGCATAGGGTGAGATCCTGGGCGCAAAACAGATATGCACGGTATCTGTCTTCTTGTGTTCGTTGCAGTGAGTGGTTGACGGGGTTAAATGACCACCATGGGGTACCAGTGCCGTGGTTACACATGCTGCTTACATGAGGGAATGTGACAAGGACAGCTGAAAGATGTAAACCCACTCTCTTCCGGCATGTTTCTGAATGTTTATGGCAAGTAGCGGAGCGCAAGTGATGTCGGGGCTCTACTTGAGGAACTGTTGTTTCTGTACGTGGCTTTGCCGTCTTTCCGTAGAAGTGTTAAATGTCGAAGATCCTTCGAAGGTATACTCATTGCGCGCAGTTCATACAACAACATAGCATGTTCGACTTATAGGCGAAGCGCCACTGTACTCTCCGCATAAGACTGTGTGATGCTAGTGCATGTGCTGATGAACTACATTGGCCGCGAGCTTCTAAATATTGTCTGAAGGTCACAGCTACCCTTCTTTATAGGCAATGTACGCAAATGCCTTCCTGCTATGTTGCGACTGCATACGGGTCCTTGTCATGATCTTCGCAGTATGCATTAGGTAAAAACGACAAGGCTTAATGATGGACGAGATTCGGAAGCCTTCTCATAAGGTAACCGCTGAATTCGCAGAAGTTATAACTCTGTGCTAAGTCAGAACCGCTCTCTGAAGGCAGTAACGTCAGTCCTGGCGTTGCGATGCATCTGAATGGTACCCTGCATACTGTTGCTTTTGCTGTACACGACAACAAGGAAAGGGGTCAAAGCGGTATAGTATAGTATAGTATAGTAAAGTGTGAAATATGAGTCTAGCACGGTGTAGTGTAGTATATCATATATGGTAGCACATTGCAGTGTCTAGTATGCATGGTGCAGTTTAGCATATAGTACCGGCGGTGGTCCTGGCAGCCGCAGGCTCGGCGGGCTCTCGCGGTGCGCTCCAGCAGAGGTCTCTGAGCGGCGACACGAGCGGCGGCGGCGCAGGGCAGCACAGGGGCGGCACGTCACCTCCAACCACCGGCCCGTGGCACATCGGCGAACGCAGGCGCCGGCGCGGCTGGCCCCGTGGCGCCCGCTCGTGCTGCACGGCTGCGAAGAGAGCGCGCGAAGAAAGAGGTAGTCGGCTCAACTGTCGCACACTTACTTATCTGGTTTACTCTCCCTGTTCAATTGGTTGACTGGTTAACCAAGAGGGCATTCACAGTCCTTCGTGGAATCGTTCAAGAGAATACTTCGCGATGGTCAAACTGGGCCCCATTTACAAAGCTTTTCGATCGTGAGAACTGTTTGCGATCGACCAGCTGAGTATGATAATTGCACGTTTCCAATAGCGCGGTTGGCTGACATGGTCTTCTGCGAACATTTCTAAATTCTACAACTGTTGCTGTGAGCTGGGATTGGAGTTCCACTCAGATGAGTCGTCCGACCTTTATTAGGGGAAAAAAATATTTCCGTGGTTCTTCGTGCGAAAGGCACAATGTGCAAGCACTGTAATAGCAGACACCGCGTTTATTCTCGATACCTGGGAATCTTTTGAACGCAAACGTAAATCGAAGTATGCTGGTGATTTTGCGCTTCGCTCCTATCGAAATGCAACCGTCGCGGTAGGATAGCAAATTCCTGACCTTGTGATTAATCACGGACGATAAGCCCGTATATGTGGACCCGATGACGAACACAGTCACGACCGCAGTAGTGCGCAAACTTTTAGCGACGACTACGCACCGTTTGACTGCGGTCACCTGCAGAGGTTCAGCATGGTTACGCAACATTTGTTTGTGGAGCAGTCCTCGCTTGGCGTTGTGACAGTGACGATAAACGATTTCTGCACTTGCCTCAAAGTACAGTCAACAGCTCCTGCTAGGAGCTCAGGGAGTGCATTGCGTTGCATGACGCGGCGTATAAATTAGCGGAGGCAAACAAAGCATGGGAAATACACGGTTTGAAAGATCGTGCCAATTAAATTAAGTTTACTTCCTGCCAGCCTTGTTTCAATACGCGTATTGCTACGGACCATTGAACCCTGCATCTAGTTTCGAAAGGAGAAGTGTGCAGTCATTGTATTCTGTCGCCATTTATGTAAGGGGTATGCACTTCTAAGACACTTCAAAACATAAACAGAGCCCAACGAACGGTGGGCTGAAAGATAACAGGCTTAACGTTGAAAGTTGATGACAGAGTAATGCTGTTTAGAGAGCGAGCTGGTGTTAGTGGAGATTCTATCACGTTAGTGGAGGTTCCACCAATTTCTGGCCATATAGCTATAGAAGTAATTCACAGCCGCATTCACATTGCTGTCTATTAGTAGGCCTGCGTATGATCGATTCGGCGGGTTTGTTTTGCGCCTACTGCGTGACAAACCAAAACAAGAGGAGAGGGATCTTTAGGATGCGGCCTGCTGCTTGGCGCCAATGCTCCACTTGACACGGTGAGAGAAGGCTGCAGCGAAGGTCTGCGACTTTGAGACAATCGGTCACGCATTCTGCAGCCCTGAATTTATGGCCGGTGACTACTACCTCTTCTTGAAGCCACAGAAAGGTTTGCGAAGACTATATATATATATATATAATTATATATATATATATATATTATAGATATATATAGATATATATATATATTATATATATATATATATATATTATATATATATATATATATATATATATATATATAGAAATTAATATATTTATCCTTGTTGACAACGCTCCCGTTGTGCCATATCCCATACCTTCACGAAGACTAACTGGCCCATTGAATTATTACTCCCACTATATATATATATATATATATATATATATATATTCGAAGGTCGTAGGTTCGATTCCTGCTTACAGTTGGTAATTTTTTCATCCACTTTTCTTTCTTCGTAGTTTACATTCCATTAATCTTAATAACTTCCCCTGTACATTCCTTGGCATTACTGTCTGTATATCTCATTATTATTGTGTTAAAAACACGGAAAAACGAGCCCTTAGGTATACACTTCTTTCCCTTATTTCATTGAACGAGGGTCTCGTACTGGCAGACTTGGTGTGTTTAGGTTGTATAAGAGGGACAATTAATCAGCTGCCCGCTCATAATAAGTTCACGTGCTACGTGACGCCAAACATGCGCATAAGAGTGTTTTCACAATCGTTGTTTGGCTTATAGATGGCGCTGACTGTCGCTCCTACTTCTAAATTCACAGATAAACCCAAAAAAGTGGATGGAGAGAGGGCCGCTGTAATAGCTCAGTGGTTAGAGCATCGAACGCGTAATTCGAAGGTCGTAGGTTCGATTCCTGCTTACAGTTGGTAATTTTTTCATCCACTTTTCTTTCTTCTTATTTTACATTCCATTAATCTTAATAACTTCCCCTGTACATTCCTTGGCATTACTGTCTGTTATATCTCATTATTATTGTGTTAAAAACACGGAAAAACGAGCCCTTAGGTATACACTTCTTTCCCTTATTTCATTGAACGAGGGTCTCGTACTGGCAGACTTGGTGTGTTTAGGTTGTATAAGAGGGACAATTAATCAGCTGCCCGCTCATAATAAGTTCACGTGCTACGTGACGCCAAACATGCGCATAAGAGTGTTTTCACAATCGTTGTTTGGCTTATAGATGGCGCTGACTGTCGCTCCTACTTCTAAATTCACAGATAAACCCAATATATATATATATATAATATACTATATATATATATATATATATATATATTATAGATATATATATTATATAATGGAAGAAGTGTATACCTAAGGGCTCGTTTTTTCCGTGTTTAACACAATAATAATGAGATCTAACAGACAGTAATGCCAAGGAATGTACAGGGGAAGTTGTTAGAATCAATGTAATGTAAATAAAAAGAAAGAAAAGTGGGTGAAAAAGTAACTTGCTGTGAGCAGGAATCAAACCTACGACCTTCGAATAAAGCGTTCGATGCTCTACCACTGAGCTCAGTGGTAGAGCATCGCTAACGCTATCACATTGAAGCGGAAAAATAGTCAGGCGTAGGGTTATCACAGCCTGCGAAACGTAGAGGTGTTCGTAGGTCGATGGGAGCGTCTTCCGTGTTGCAGACGCGCCATGAAACGCGGCGCCAAGTGAACGTTATTGCTTTCAAGATAGAATATGAAGACGTTTTCCAACAGAGATGAATTTGAGATTATAAAACAACATCGACGGAGCTTTGTTGTATCATTTGTGCGGTATTGCGTTTATTCTTTTTTTCTTTTCTTTCTTTGGGCGGAGTGGGGTGGCAGGTGATTGGGAAAAGACAGGTCCCCGCCTAAACGGTGGTCAGTAGCCCTTGGGTCCCGTCCTGCAGTAGCTTTTATCACTTTTGTGAGACTCCTTGGAGGAGAGGTCCCTGCCTGAACGGTGGCCAGTAGCCCTTGGGTCCTGTCCTGGCTTCCGGATTCGAGCTTAGCAGTACCTTTATCACTTTTGTGCCACTCCTTGGAGGAGAGGTCCCCGCCTGAACGGTGGCCAGTAGCCCTTGGGTCCTGTCCTGGCTTCCGGATTCGAGCTTAGCAGTAGCTTTTATCACTTTTGTGCCACTCCTTGGAGGAGAGGTCCCTGCCTGAACGGTGGCCAGTAGCCCTTGGGTCCTGTCCTGGCTTCCGGATTCGAGCTTAGCAGTACCTTTATCACTTTTGTGCCACTCCTTGGAGGAGAGGTCCCCGCCTGAACGGTGGCCAGTAGCCCTTGGGTCCTGTCCTGGCTTCCGGATTCGAGCTTAGCAGTACCTTTATCACTTTTGTGCCACTCCTTGGAGGAGAGGTCCCTGCCTGAACGGTGGCCAGTAGCCCTTGGGTCCTGTCCTGGCTTCCGGATTCGAGCTTAGCAGTACCTTTATCACTTTTGTGCCACTCCTTGGAGGAGAGGTCCCCGCCTGAACGGTGGCCAGTAGCCCTTGGGTCCTGTCCTGGCTTCTGGATTCGAGCTTAGCAGTAGCTTTTATCACTTTTGTGCCACTCCTCGGAGGAGTGGGCTCACTCGTATGTCTACGAAAGCAGGAATGAACAATCGGCATAGAATCGGTCAGAAACTTAAACAAGAATGCAACCCCTCCCTTTTGACGCCACTGGGCCGCTTAAGCCGCCGTCCTTTGCATAAATATGCGGAGCCTTACGTCTTAATTATACCAAACACAATCACAGTGTATTCTAAGTCCTTGCACTATAATTTAAGCATGAATAGAAGCTCGTAGCTAATGCGAGGCAGTAGCTGGGGACCGCGCCCGCATAGTGGTTATAGTGGTTATAAGAGGGAAAGGAAGAGAAAAGTGAGCCCCGTAACTGTCTGCATCAGGGTGCGACACCTAAACAGTAGCTCTCAAGGAATGGGGGTGAGGAGAGATTAAAAGTATAGGAATAAAGGTGTAGAGAGAGAGAGAGAGAGAGAGAGAGAGAGAGAGAGAGAGAGAGAGAGAGAGAGAGAGAGAGATGCTCTGGGACAGCGAGCGATGACATAAGAGAGATAGGAGAGATAGGAAAGATGGAAACGCGGTCACAGGAGTCCAAGGACGGAGCACCACTTGCGAGAGCTCTTGTCGGCGACAGGAGATGGCGTAGGGCTAATCCAGTCGGCCAGAGCTGCGCTGACGTTCACAGCCGCGTACTAGAAGTGTGATTTTGACGGTACAGTTTATAACGCAGGCGAAAGCGCTCTGAGAGTGAAGACTCTTTAAGTGGTTCAAGACACCGTTTTCAGATGACCCCATTCCAGTTGCCGATCAAGCCCTAACGGTATTCGATTTGCCAGAGAGTGGTTGCTTCCTTTGCGTGAGCCTATTGTGATCTGAAATATCCTGACTCGACTCAGTCCCGATTACGATGGAAAGTTGTTCGCGTGACATGTATAACGCGATTCTTTCCTTTACACAGAGAGTAATCTCTGTTGTTATGGCCCATTCACAGAAGCGCGATCGCTTCCTCTTCAAGGCGCCCAGTGTACCGAATTCCGTTATGATCACGTTTCGCTCGTTCACGACAGTGTCTTCTTCCACTGTGTAGTCGTAGTGTGCACTTGCATTCGCCCAATGTCGTTGTGCCACCCTGTGCGCAGAAGTGGGCGTTGGCTGCAGCTGCAGAGCGTCATC